AAAAAAAAAAAAAAGAAGAGGTAACTGTAGGATGATGATTTGCCCTGTAGGAAGCTGTGAGCATGTTAAAGGTCAGGCTGTGCTCACACAGGCTCCCGGGGCTCCCATCGACTTCAATGAGGGTGCCCTGTGCTTGTTTCAGAACTGAAGCTGGCTGCAAGGCATCGATTTGAGGACAGCTTTATGGACCAAAAAGGCTGGACACAACTGGGACGACTTATGTGAAAGAGAAGGAACAGAAAAACGTGAGATGAAGAAGGTAGGAAAAACCCCTGAAAGAACTAGAAGCTGAACTGATAAAAGGGTTAGGAATAAATCTCATAGCTCTGCTGGGGTAATTTAATAGTACCCTGACCAGGGCTGCGAGGTGTTAGAAATCAACTCTTCTGTACTGCTGCAGTTTACTTTCTATGAATGGTGACACGTTGCATCCGATCAGGTTCTTCTAGTTACTTGAGTCATAGAGCAACAAATGTCTAGAAAAAAAAGCTGAGAATCATTTGCTTATATATTATTAAGGAATTCAAAAGCTACCTAAAAGACCTGGCAGTATACTTACTGCCTGAAGCCTCTTCTTTTGCTTGGATTAAGTTCCTTTAAGAAAGTTAATAATATCAGTATGGATTTTGTTCTGCTTCTTTAAGGCTGTTGAGAAGGAGACGCCGTAAGGAGTAGCTGGTAGTGGCAGTCTTCTAGAATTGCATTTTCTAGCTTTTGTTGAGTGGCCGTTGCTAAGCAATAACGTGCAGAAGTATGAGGACAAGGACTTCATTCATTTTTACAGTTCTTCCCAGTAATAGCTTTGTTCTGTCATCACTGTTTTTGTCGGTATTTCTTTTTGTCTCCATTAATACAGTTGCAACCACATACGCTACATGAGAGAGCTATATGACTAAATCTGTCTAACAAGACAGTTATTGTACAGCTCAGTCATTAGACATGATTGCTTAGTTTGAGGTAACGGCAAAATTTACCGTGTTGAGACCCATTCATAATGATTTTTCAAAGCACATGGCAATAAGACTGTGGGATTTAAAGATATTTAAATGCTCATAGATGGGTATATCTAGAAATTTTAATTGTTTTCTGTCTGTATCTTGAGATTGTTAAATGCCTTTCAAAATCCAGTTCAGCGTTCCTGTGAATTAAAAGCACTCTGCAGTTTCATACACTAGTTAATGTTTTAAATAACCCATTTTTTTAAAAGCTGTTGCCTAGCTGATTTTGGTGGAACATTATGTCTGTCTCGTCATGCAGGACGTTGGGTACTGCATTTCAAACTAACCAGAACTTCAAAAATAATGATGTAACCACAGCTCACTGGTACTGCTGCAAGCAGCAAACTTTACAAGCAGTCATTCTAAGCAGCAAGTATCATCTAAAAGAGCTTCCCCACAAGCTGCTTGTTAGAAATCCCAAAATACAGGCTTTGAGAAACCCAGAGAGGATGGAAAAACTAGTGTCGTTCTAAAAGGACAGCTAGCAAATGTTTCCTGCTCTCCCCTTTGCCTCCAAGAGGTAATTATGGCAGAGATTCTATGAAAAGTTTAAATTTTTGCTCAGCAGACAATTAACAGTCTGCTCTTGTTTAAAATGATCGTCAGGTGAAGGTTACAAGCAATGTGATTGTTGGTCCATGTTGGATACTCCCAAGCAAACAGCCTTATCTCTGAGGGGTAGTTGATGGTGAATTGAATACGGTGCTGCATTCACATGCTCAGCTTGGGGTGTCTGAAGGCACCAACAGCTGATGCACAGCTTCTTTTCAGGTTGAAGGAAGCCCTCCCCAGCTCTGCCGTGCTGAGGTCTCCTACAGTCTCTACCAGTCAGCTTCAGTCAGGGCTTTGACTCCAGTGGCTCTACACAGGGTCCTGTCTGATTTCTCTGGAGCAAGCCTGCATTTCATGTAAGGGCTTGAAGTTAAACTGAGAGCCTCCTCTTAGCAAACTGCAGGTTATGGAAGCAAACCCATTTTTACTCAGTGATGTAGCAAAAAAAACATACCCCGTGCACAGAGAAATCTATACTGAAACATGATCTCTCCTGTAGTGAATTTGGAGGAGGATGCTCAGAATTGTCCCTCCAAGAGGTACTTATGGTAGAGATTCTATGAAAAGTTTTAATTTTTGCTCAGTAGACAATTAACAGTCTGCTCTTGTTTAAAATGATCGTCAGGTGAAGGTTCCAAGCAATGTGATGTTGGTCCATGATACTCCCAAGCAAACAGCCTTATCTCTAAGGGGTAGTTGATGGTGAATTGGATACGGTGCTGCATTCACATGCTTGGCTTGGGGTGTCTGGAGGCACCAACAGCTGATGCACAGCTTCATTTCAGCTTGAAGATAGCCCTCCCCAGCTCTGCCGTGCTGAGGTCTCCTACAGTCTCTACCAGTCAGCTTCAGTCAGGGCTTTGACTCCAGTGGCTCTACACAGGGTCCTGTCTGATTTCTCTGGAGCAAGCCTGCATTTCATGTAAGGGCTTGAAGTTAAACTGAGAGCCTCCTCTTAGCAAACTGCAGGTTATGGAAGCAAACCCATTTTTACTCAGTGATGTAGCAAAAAAAACATACCCCGTGCACAGAGAAATCTATACTGAAACATGATCTCTCCTGTAGTGAATTTGGAGGAGGATGCTCAGAATTGTTAAAATAACCAGTTTAGTTAAAGCAGCTGAGTACATCCAAAAATACTCCATAACAGAGAGGATGTTTTCTGCCAGGGACAGCCATTGACACACCATGTAACAGGATCGCTGCAATGCCCCGCTGGCATTCGGCTGGGAGAGGAGGCACACGTCCACCTCCAGCTCTCCCCTTCACACTCTGGGGTGCTGGGCTTGGACCTTTTAACTGGTGCCTCTTGAAGCCTTGGTTATGCCAATAAACACCCGAGAAACACAGCAAAGATCTGAGATGGAATGGCTAAGATGTGCGTTCTAACTTGTTTTGTTTCTTTGAACAATTAAACAGAATAACTAATAATGCAATAAGTACAAAGTTACCTGAGAGCTGCATTTGGGGCGGAAATTGGATTGAGGCTTGTTTTAAGAGGGAACACTTTATTCTTGGGGGAAAATCTCCACCTCCTGGGAGAGGATTGTCCCTGCTATGGCATGGGACAGTTTTCATTCTATCCTGTGAGTTACAGGTTTAGTACTTTTCCTCCACAGAGTGCTTTGCAGGCACAATCTGCACCACACTTACAGGATCTTGAGATCTCGAGTTCTATTGCTGTCTTACAGAATGGGAAACAGAAACATGAGGTGATGCTACTTGGCCAAGGCTACAGAGGAAGGTGGTGGCAGCAGAATTGTACCTTGAAATTTCCCAGGTACAAGTTCTGCTGTGGAGCCAAGGGTCTTCTAGAGGCTAATTATTTGGGATGACACTTTTAAAGCTACTTACAGAGAGGTATTTCTGAAAATACCATTAGGCACCTACCAGAGCCTTTAGATAGCTCCATACTTTGCCAAATGGAGCCCGTGCTGTTCTGCTGAGCTGGTGTTACACGTTCCCATTGTTATGTAGGCAAACAGCTCAGGTTACTGCATGGGCACGTTTTCTCTGTTGGGGTTTGGGGCACGGGAGCTTGGCAGTTGTATTTTTTGTGGTCTCTAGAAAGTTCATCCCCTAAGTATTGTGTATAACTAACCCAGGGATGTGATTTTGTCCTACCTCAGAGGTGAAGCCTGAGGTGAATTCTCATAAGCTCCATGAAAATCTTCAGCTTCGCTCTTGGAGTTGATCTGGCCGAAGTTTGTAGCTTCTGCTCGTCTGCCCAGCCCTGGGGTCTCTGTGCTGTAGGACGTGTCACGGTCCTTGGCTCCCGTTTGGCTGTTCCTGGGGAAGGTGGATTTCTTCATGGTGACTTGCACAGCTGGCCTGTGGGCAGCACCCGCAAAGCTTTCCAGCTCTTTTGCTCCTGGAAGTAGAATTGTCCACAAGTCAGGTAGAAAGCAGTGGTGGTTCACCAGTACAGCAAGCTGAGTAACAGGAAGGGAAACTGGTGTGTCTGTGCAGGTGGATGAGAGTCCAACCTGCCTGGGGTCTGCATAGGCTGCATTGGCCAAATCTGACTTCTCACCAGGGCTGGTGAGCTTTGCTTTACACACAAGGTGCTGTTCTGTTTGGAGATGGTTTTCAGCACAACACAGACAAGTCATGGCTTAAAATAAACAAGGTGTAGATACAGCCAATGCATTTGACTAAGCTGGGGTTGCTGGAAGGATGAAGCTCAGGGCTGAGATTCCTCTGTGAGAGAGAGCAACATCTCCACCTTGTCGCTCTTGACCAAGGAGGAAGAGCATTTCTGCTTTTTTGGACCCAAAACCAGAAATGCAGAACAACTTGCATCCAGCTTTGAGAAGTACGCAAGCAGACTGCATTTTTGAGGCATTTTTCTCCTCTTTAGCCTGCAAAAATGTTAGGGTCTGGCTTCTGCTTGGCAAATATCTGACTCTGCCTGATGCTGGGCAGCAGCAGCTTCCCTCATGCTTAGTTGCTCGGCTCAGAGATCCATGTGTTTACCTGGGGAAACAGAGAGACGTGCACTGGATGCCACAGATCCAAATTCATTTTCAGCAACACATTTAAATATTCCAGAGTCTTCCGGAAAAGCTTCTGTAATAACCAGGGTGCAGACTTCCTCTGAAATGACAAATCCAGGCTGTTGTACCATAAAAGCCAAATGTGAACTTGTAGGAATTGGTCCTTGCAGAAGGAGTGCTACTTAGTGATGGGGCTTGGCAGCAAGAAAGTGCAAAAGAGTGATGTAAAGGGCATAGGAATCCAAGGGATTTAGCAGGAGCAAAGGTGGAGGAAGGATCTTTCTTCCTGTGACTTTTAAGAAACAAACCACAATTTTTTTTTTTGCTGAACTCTGTCTTCTCTTACACAAATTTAAACCCTAGAAATGATCACAGGTCAGAATAAAGAAACAAACCTCAATTTGTTTTTTGCTGAACTCTGTCTTCTCTTGCACAAACTTAAACCCTAGAAATGATCACAGGTCAGAATGGTTTTGTTTTCCCTTAACAGCTAGGGAACATGTTCCTTGACTGAATGTAAAAGGGATGATACCTTTTTCATTGTGCTGTGAAATAAATTAGGGCCTTTCAGGTGCTTGTGTCAAAACCAAGACCTTGGAAGCTCTCAGCCTGACACTGCGTGCTGAGTTCTGGCTCCCCTTTGAACATAATTGTTTTATCTTGGATGAGGTGGGAAAAACTACGCTTGGAGTAATTAACCAGTGAGGTGTCTAACAAAAAACCACACAGTGCACTTACCAGGAACAGCTGACGAACAAGCCTCTGCTCAAAATAAGAAAGAAAAAAATTAAATGGTTATAATGCCAGAATGGATGAAAGACTTTTAGCCCTCACCTCCTTTCCCCCCTCAGCTGTCACCCTGGTTACAAAAGAAAGGTTACCCCTTTCTGTCCATGAAGAGAAATGCCATCTAGAGGGGGGAAGCTCAGGTCTGGCTGGGGAACCCCATGGTACAAACACCTCTCCACTGGAGTGATACTGAGAGAGCTCCACTGGCTTTGGAGTTAGTTGCTGTGAATTTGCCACTGGAGCTATGACCTCGTGCCTGGGAGTATGATAAATGTTTAAAATATGCTTATAGTTTTTTTTTTTTTTCTCATCAGTAGTTATAACCTGTGGTGACAATGATGTTATGGCTCAGTTATGCTTTAAGCTATCAGCATGGTGATCTCCCTCCCTCGTGCCTGAGCTGCTCAGGAGTTGCCAGGGGAAGTGTGGTCTCTGCACAGCAGTCGATTGCTTCAGGTCACTTCATACTGGTAAACTTAACTCTGTGAACATGCTCTGCCTCTTAGTTTTTATTTTTATGGCAGTTCACAGAATCACAGAATCGTAGTGGTTGGAAGGGACCTCAGAGATCATCGAGTCCAACCACAAAAAAAAAACCAAACAAAAAAACACATCAAAAAAAAACCCCCAAAACCACCACCCACCACCTAAACACACAACAACAACAACCAACCAAAACCATCACCCACCCACACAACATCCCACCACAAACCAATAATCTTGGGCACTAGAGCATGCCCTGAAGAGCCATGTCTACACGTCACAGTTCGTGCTTCTGTCTTTTCACTGTCCCAATAAAATTACTGTACATCAGGCAGACCCAGTAATACCTACTTTTCCGTAGTATTCGGAAATCAGCAGAGTCGATTATTGGATCATATTCCCTGTACCAGTGAACCTGTAAGGTGGGTGTAGCGCGAATGCGACACTCAAATACCACTAATTGACCCCTTGTAGCTCTTATGTTTTGTAGACCCTGGAGGAGGAAAAATTGGTGTTAAAAGGCTGACATAATTATTTGCCCATTGAAGCAATTATTATGGGGTGATGCACCCTTTAGTGGAGAAGATGATCTCGTGCTCGTATTTTTATTTTGCTTACCCCATATTTTTATTTTATTTACAATAGCTGATTTAATTCTAAATGCATTTGTAGTGTAGTGGGTTGTGAGAAGAGTTTTTTCACCTGTATACCAGTGTTCATGGTTGTGAGCAGAGTTTTTTCACCTGTATACCAGTGTTCATTAAAAGGCTTAGCTTGCTTATGCATTTAAATAAAGATACAGGTGCAGGAAAACCATCTATTCCAGTGGATACAACATAATAAGGGAGGTTACTCTGAGAGGTTTCCTCTTCAGCCTCCTTTGTAGGAAATAAATGAGGTGAATTCACGTAAGTGGTTCTGTCTGCCTGGATTGTTTACCAATTAAGATGTTAGTTTGGTAGCATCACTGATGAACCATGCTGGCTTTTTTGAATTGTAAATGAACCAGTGTTCCAGCCTCGAATTACTGTCTGATGGAGCAAGAAAACTCTAAGTCTAACATTAGTAGTTGCAGAACAAGCGATGTCATTCAGACAACCTGTGCTCTTTACCTTTGTAAACACAGGTGTGCTTCCGTAGGCAGACCCAGTCAGGCTCGCCGAGGGACTCTGCATCTAAATACCAAAGAAAAATGATTTTTATAGCTTGAATTTCTCATATGCAGGAACCTGGCCGCGTTGCTGGCACTTTGGAACAGAAGAAGATGCCAGAACGTTTTATCTGCTGTTCATGTGCCAGCCTAATAAATACCCTGTGGAGAATCTCCATTCAGGTGCTCCAAGAGGAAATGCCTCCCTGGTCTGTGAACACCAAGTCAGTGGAAAGAGGAGCTGCTAACTGGTAAGTGTTGCTGGTTTTATAGCTGTAAGTCAATTTATTGCCCACATCTTGTAGTTTCTATGATCAGTGTTGCTTGCCAGTAGTTGTCCCCTTCTACAGAGGGAGACACCTGGTTTAGGTGATCCCAGGTCTAGCTCTTCTTGGCTTGTGTGGTGTATGTGGTGACTACAATGGGGCTGAAGGTGGAGAAACAAGAAGGAACTTTGGTACTCTTTCCTGACATCCTCTTCTAAAGCTCAGCTGATGCAGAGTTTACAATAAGCTCTCTGATTAAGCAAAAAAGGAAGCCCCTTGAGCATTTTCAGCCCTGTCCTCTGCTCTATCAATTCTCTTAGCAATTCTGGCTAGGAAATGTTCCAAACCAGAAAACCCTTTTCCAGATCTTAGGGTCTAGATCTTGATATTCACGATGACCTTTGTCTCTAAGTCACTTGCTGAAGATGGGCTTGACCTAATCCTTGCAAAACATTTCTAAAATACTGTAAGTAATAATTTAAGAAATGTGTAACCTACTCTTTGAGGGTCAATGGGTACTGACTGTATTAAAGTGGTGTAACTCTGGTGGACTAAATGGCTGCTAGAAACTTCATTGGCTGAGGAACCAATGGTCAGCAAAACACTGGTAGTTTTCCCCTTTTTCCTAGCACGGGAGAAAAATAAACAGGGCAGGATGGAGATGGAGACTTTGGGATGCTGACCATACTTGATCCAACAAGGTTTGCACTTACTGTGACATTCCTCTGGCCCTGCCGGGATGGTGAGACTTGCAAGGAGGCTTTGCCTTCAGATTTACTCTATGAACCTGGAGAGACAAACATAGATCAGTGTCTTTAGAGGTATGTCCTTTTCCTTACAACACAGTGGTGGCTGTGTTTTGTGAACTGAGCAAATGCTGTTTGGAGAGCAAGTGGTATGTGCCAGAGAAAATAGAAGCACCCTTAGTGTCTGAGAGTAGGCTCAGGTCACCTCAAGAGCATAGAGACATTTAACTGAGGTTATTGATATGGACCTCTGTAATAGACAGAAGTCACCTGTGAAAGCTGACTGCATGGTAGAGTTAGGGCTTGTCTGGATTTGGATAGAAGAGTCTAAAGAAAACCCTTGTTATTTTAACTGAAGTGAAGATGGTACCTCATAAACCAACTATCAGATCCTTCTCACATGAGGTCTGTAGCACAGTGGATTGACACAAAAAAACATAGTTACTGGTAGCTTAGTAGCTCACAATGGTAATAAAAGATTTATAGGTTTAATCTTTGTTTCCCTTTTACTCTGGCAAGAGGTTTTTCTTGGTGAAGTACTGCAGGCTAATGGTCCTGCTTCTCCTGGGCCCAGCTGCATCACTGAAAATGCTGGTCCTGATAAATAACTTGCATCATCAGCAGTGGTGTTTTCCTACGCTCTGCTTCTGGAGTGAACATGAAGAACGTGGACCAGATCCTTCTCACATGAGGACTGTAGCATAGTGGATTGACACAGAAAAACGTAGTTACTGGTAGCTTAATACCTCACAATGGTAATGAAAGATTTATCGGTTTAATCTTTGTTTCTCTTTTACTGTGGCAAGAGAGGTTTTTCTTGGTGGAGTACTGCAGGCTAATAGTCCTGCTTCTCCTGAGCTGCATTAGTGAAAATTCTGGTCCTGATAAATAACTTGCATCATCATCAGTGGTGTTGTCCTACACTCTGCTTCTGGAGTGAACATGAAGAACGTGGCTTTGGACTGAGAGAGCAGCATGTGTGAGACATGGAGCCAGTGCTCCTGTGTCTGTCTGCCTTGAGCTGCAGCTGCAGGGAAGGAGTTGAACCCAGTTTGTCAGCAAGGAGAAGGCATGGAAATAACCAAATAGACTTTCTGCTGGCTGTAGGAGCAATACATGTCCCCTGCTGATCTGTTTGGTGTGATGCAATGCTCCTGAGTTGCTGGCTTGCTAAAGGGTGCCCTGGGATTTGTGTTCCCATCCCTGAAGCCAGCCACTCACCCTCTCTCAGCACCCACGATGTCAAATTTGAAGCCTTATTCTCTGTTGGCTGGTAGCTGATGGTGTCACGTGCTGTCAAGTCCTATGTTTGTGCCTGCGCGTGTTTGTGGTCATGCAAACAGGACCTTAAGGTATTGGCAGATGGGTACAAAGCTGTTGTTTGTTGTTCAGTGACCAGTTGCTAAGGCCACTGTAACTGTCCCCTTGAGAGCTCCTTGCCTGTCAAACTACTGCCTTTGTGGCAGTTTTGCTTTGTGTTTGCAGCCTGCTGGGAACCAGATGGGACTAGTCATGGTGTGGCAGGTCAGAAGGCTCTCCTTAAGGTTACAGTTGTTTCCCACAGTGCTCTAGGTGAGACAAAAGTATGTATTTCTTCAGGGTCTGGATCCTATGCTTGATGCTCCTGGTTCTGTCTGGTATTGTTTGGTACTTACAGCATTTGTAACATGATAAGGTGGAGTGACTTCAAATCTGGGGGTCTTCTAGGTGACTCTCACTGTGTCTTGGAGTCACATTTGTAAAGATGCGGATAAGTGCATGGCGTAGAGATATGATGGCACCTCAACAGACTAGGATTTAGGTACCTTGAACAGGACAGCAGGCTGCAAAAGCCCCCATCTCATCCAATAAAGTCAGTATATGCATCTGAGTTCTTCAGAGGCTTTGCATAGCTGTTTGGTCTTAATAATTTATTTGAGACCTGTTCTTTCTCTGCTGCTTTCTGTCACTCTCCAAAACAGTCCTAACTGATCACAGTGGAGGATATTTTGCAGTCTGGTTGGATTTGACTGGTGTGGCCATGTAACAACTGCAGGTGGCCACGTAAGACAATGGGCTACTGTACGGCAGTGGGACATGTCTGATGAGAACGTGTCACTGTGTGTCTCATCTAAACCTGCAGTATGTTGCCCCTGGCCCTCATCCAGCAAAGAGCTTACACATGGACTCAGACCACCCACAGCCTTCATATTTCTCTCTATTGCTTTTGAGTTATAAGTATCCCTCAAGCAGCTCAAGGATGGCTCCTGGCCAAGGTTATGTCACGCGGCCATCGACAGGGCTGTGCCGTGATGCAAGGATTGCTGGATAATCCCGAGCCCTTGGATGTGGGAGGAGGGCCTGGGAAGCCAATGTTATTGAGTTGCCCTGGGTTCCTGCCGCAAACCAATCCTGGCTGTACTCCACCACAGATCCCTGCGATGCCGTTTGCATTGCCTCCTTGCAGTCTATCAAGTAACGGTCAGTATAGTCACTTTTCAGGACCTTTGAAATTGGCTGGTTTGTTTTTTCTCGTTTTTCTCTGAAGGGTGGTGAAAAACCAGACAGGTGCAGAACCAGGAAAGGAGTTCCTGGGTTGAAATATCTGCTTTAAAGATCACCTTATATGACTGAAACAGCATTAACAAAACTATATAGGACAATCTGTGCCCCTCTTTTCTTCTGTACAATAGAAGACTTAGTTCTCCCATAGAGATGCCATCATTCTTAGTTGTTCCACGCTATCTCCAAGTCCATGATCAGTCTGGAGTCGGCCAAGACATGCACAGAAACAGAAGGCACAGACATGTCCCTTACCAAGAGTAAGTGAAGTGGTCAGAGTTGTGGCAGGCTATGGTTTAAGATCAAAACACGGAGGAACTCCAGGACGTTTGCTCAGAAAGGTTGGACACACCTTATCTGGAGTGAGAAACAAGGTCTTAGAGAGAGGTTGGTCTACTGAACTGAATAAGAACAGCTTCTGACAGGTTTCCAGCCAAGATAAAACAGGCACTGAACATTAGCACTCAACAGGAATAGCACTAGCTTATGAATTTGTGCTCAAGACAGTTACTCAGTTGTGTGGCATTAGTTCCTCAATGTGATGATTACTGCTAAGAACTTCTGCCGTGGCAGAGACCATGGCCAAAGATGATGGCTGTCAAAGTTGCAAGTGAAACTGGACTGACGCCACGTAACACAACGGGCAGTTGGTGTTCACCCAGTAAGTACAGGAAGCTGTATATGGGATGCTGCAGCTGCCAGTGCTTGAGAGAGGCTCAGCTAATCTCTTGCCAGAGCAGATCTTACTAGTTCCATTGAGAAGAGACCCCATCATTGGGAAGTCTATTTGTGCTTGGCTGCTGTAGGTGTCTGATGTTTAAAGCAGAAGCCACCCTTGAAATCCATGTTTCTTGCAGCACCCTGGTTTGTAGACAAACTCACACTTCACGTGCATGGTTTATGGTAGATTCTCTGTCCTCATCTCATGTTCTGTGGTTCTTCCATTTCACAGTTTGCTTCTCGTGAGTGTGTTGGATGCTTCCACTGTTAATATTTGATTTGAATAAAGAAGAGTTCATGGGAATAAATAAAAGGTTTATAAGATTCATAATCAGAACAGTCGCTGTCTTAGTCTGAACTGCCTGGGTTTGATTGAGACATTGAGTAAACCAGGAGACCTTCAGGTGTGCTGAACATGGTGGCAGGTGCTGCTTTAAAGGGCAGAGTGAATTTGGGAGATGGTATTTCACCAGCCCTGCTACTACTAATCGGTTTCATGTGATTGAAACAGTGAGTTTCTGTAGGAGTGCGAAGCTGTCTTGTGTCTGAGGCTGTGTGTGTGGCCTGTCCAACGTAGTAGTAGACGTGAGAGGAGGTCATTCAGCTCCTGAGAAAACACTGGAAGGTCACTCTGAGAGAGCTGTTTTCTCTCTTACGTGACTGCTTTTCTTTAAGCTATGAGTGATTGCTCCAGGCTTCTTTAACTATCTGTTTTCAGATTCCTGAGGTCCTGTTCCTGAGTCCTGCCGAGCTCCATGCGTGACGTGCCCCTCTGGCCGTGTCTGCCTTGCTGAGCACAGAGGCTTCCTACGGCAGGGCGGCGGAAATGTCGGCACTGTACGGCTTACGCCCTTGAAAGAATATACAGCCAAGGTTTTACCTTGGTGAGTCATTCTAGCAGCCCTAGTGTCTCATGTAAATGTCAACCTTTACTTAGTGTAACTCTAGATCTTTGTGAAGAGGACAGAATTAGACTCAGCCAAATGAAGAGTCCAAGGACCTTTGCAACCCAACACCAGAATGATTACGAGGTACATGCAGATCATGCTGTTGACACAAACCATAATGACGACATTCTAGCATTACCTGAATAGTTGACATGGCTGCAGAATTATGCTATATGCAACACCAGGACAAATTTAACGCAGGGTTAGGAAAGTATTAAAGCTGCATGGAGCCCTTTTGCCAGGTGTTTAGATCATGGAAAACCCATTAAATCTGTTTTAGGAACAAAATGAGCATCTGCTGGATCTGAAATGCACTGCGTTGTAAAGAGTCTATGTAGGGGGGAGCAGAATATATTAAAATTTACACTTAGAAGTAAGGCAGACCTAGACTGCATCATCCTATTAATATACCAACATGTCTTTTATTTAGAAAACAGGCTCTAATAGATATACAGGATAACAACCTTCAGTCAATCGGAAAGCAATGCATTTTTCAAGCCATCTGCATGTACTTGATGGTGTTACTCATTTTCATAGAGGTCCTCAAGCTTTGGCAGTGTTTGGTAGACACTTGGATATCTTGTGGCACTACCCTATGTGGCTTAACAGTGATACGAACACAGGACTGCAGAGAATGAGGCTTTCCCCAAGGCAGTGGGACAGAGAAAGATCTGTCTGGAGCTGTGTTTCCTCTGTGCCGAGTGGCTAAATGGGGAAGTTGTCACCACTTGAGGTGTGAGCTTTCTAGTTGTGAGTTATTTGGTGATGTGAAGATATGATTTGAAAGAGACTTCGCTGTTGCTCCTGGGGTGTGAATAACAAATCTTCTGTAG